CGGAGATGAGATGGTGTAGTTTGTAATCACTGGTGAAGATCTTTTCATTGAGGATGGCCCAGAGCTGGGGAGAAACTCAGACAGCTCAAGAGGGAAAACCCCCATCGATCCACATACTGGAACTGACAATAGCGTTCTGTCCAAGCGCTGATCGCTTTTATCAAAAAAATAACACAACAGGCCATGATAACTCTAGCATAGTCGGTAACAACAACAATCTGTTAAATAAGGTGCTGCTCTTGCAAATAAGCGTTGAAGTTAGCCAATGCTCGGGAATTCCCTGCTTTAAAAGATTAAAGGCTACATTTATCCGTTTTGGCATGGCGTTTCTCTCGGAACAACACAGCGGGTAAAGTTAAGGATAATAATGGGTAAACAAGCTCCACCATGCATGATAGGCTACTTCGGATTTTTTTTCTTGTGCTGGTGCTGAATTTTTAAATCTCAGTTGTGGAGCTAATTGTGTAAGTGACATTTGGTCTTTCTGTGAATAGTTTTACTGTAAAAGTCATGTGATCATGTGACCTAATTATTTCCACTTTCTGAAGGTAGATTGCGGTGTGTGTGTGTGTGTGCTTTTCTGCAGTAGATGTGTGGGTCTCACATTATTGTAGGTGTGTATGAAGTGTGTATGTGGGGAATCCCTTCCAGCCTACCTTTCACTTCTCCAAGGAAAGGTTTTCGTAAAAAAGAACAAAACTACAGCGGGGCCCACACATCCATCACTTCAGCTTTTCGCATCTCCAGTTACGTTCTTAACAGCAACACAATCTTCTCTCTGACTTCACAACAAATGACTCCTGCAGGTAGAAAAATGACACGCTACGGCCACGAGCATCTACCAAAGTGTGTGCTTGTGCTTGAGCGACGTCATTTCGAGAGTGGTGACTTGACTGAAGTAGAGAGCATGAAACTCCTGTTGGAGTTTTCCCTCCTACCCCCGTGGCAGCTAGATAGGGTCGTGCGTCTGAGCTCATCGAGGGTTTATTGACTCAGGGGACTGTGATGCTCTTTTACATGTCTGACGTGATCTTGTGTATAATCTGAATATGGGCCTGTACTTATGACCAGTTTCCCAGATATAACACAAAGGTGTTGATTAAAAAAAATTTCTAGGGAGATATTTAGGAGCCAAATTACACGTTTTAGAAGTATTATATGTGACACTGGACCACAAAACCAGTCATAAGGGTACATTTTTGCAATTGAACTGAACAGATAAGCTTTCCATTGATGTATGGTTTGTTGGGATAGGACAATATTTGGCCGAGATACAACTATTTGAAAATCTGGAATCTGAGGGTGCAAAAAGATCTAAATATTGAGAAAATTGCCTTTAAAGTTGTCCAAATGAAGTTCTTAAGCCCCGTTCACACCAAGAACGATAACTATAAAGATAACGATATTAGCGTCCACACCAGCGAACGATATCTTCTGTTTATTCTAAGCGCACGCTCGTCTGCCGCTTTCATTCTTGAGCTCATTAAAGCAGGATGGATTCTGATTGGCTGTCAGTGTTTTATCGTTCATCAGCTGGGAAAAAATCGTTTTGAAAGTGATCACAACGATATCATTCCTCTGTATCGTTATCGTTATAGTTGTGGTGTGAACTATGCTATTCTTTAATATTGAGAACGATTTTTAGAACTATATCTTTATCATTATCTTTATAGTTATCGTGCTTGGTGTGAACGGGCCTTTAGCGATGCATATTACTAATCAAAAATTAAGTTTTGATATATTCACAGTAGGACATTTACAAAATATATTCATGGAACATGATCTTTACTTAATGTCCTAATGATTTTTGGCATAAAAGAAATATCAATAATTTTGACCCATACAATGTATTTTTGGCTATTGCTACTTAAGACTGGTTTTGTGGTCCAGGGTCACATATATAGATGTAATAGAGTCCTGCAGTGGTGACTTATTTTTGTAGGCCAACCTGAAAGTTCACTGTCACTCTGGTTCGCTCAACAAAAACCCAATAGATTTTCCATTGGATTATTGCAGAAAATAAGCTCTGTGACCGACAAACGTCTAAGATTCTTACATGTTTTGTTCTTCGTTCACAAATTAACACAACTTTTAAGTATTTTGAAGGCTAAATGTAGGCTATAATAGAACTACACTACTAAGTGCCTACTCTTTCAATTCATAATTTTATAAGAGTTGCAATAGATTTCATAAGTGTGATTATAAACAAAAAATTTAGTTTAACTGTTTATCATGACGCTTAAAGGGGGTCATATGATGCGATTTCAATTTTTCCTTTCTCTTTGGAGTGTTAAAAGCTCTTGGTGCATAAAGAAGATCTGTAAAGTTGCAAAGACTAAAGTCTCAAATCCAAAGAGATATTCTTTATAAAAGAGTCAACCACGCCTACCTAAAACGGCTTGTTCTAACACGCCCCCACATGTCTATGTTACAATGTGGGAAGATTTGCATAACGCTGCCCAAATGCTCACGCAAAGAAAGAAGGCGTAACTTTTATTCTTGCTGTTGCCACCGCTGCCATGTTGTGGAGTCGCTGTGTGTTTCGTTGTGAAAGCGAAACTACTTTGTTTGGCCTTCCAAAAGAGGACACAACTAGAAATCAGTGGTTATTTACAACACTGTTCCAGAACAGTTCAACCCAAATATTCAGATGTGTGCTGCGCATTTTATGGAGGATGAGGACTGTTTCCTGAACCGGTAGCCTACAATGCGTCTTGTGGCACAAAGGCTGTTTCTATAAAGTTGGGCAGTCACGGCGCTTCTGACTCACAGCCTGTAAGTATGTTTTTTTATATTTAAATAATTTGCCACTGATGATTCAAACGCGAGTTTTGAGCAGTGTAGAGTAGGCTTGTTGTTTGCTGTTTCTCCGATCACAAATGCAGACATGGTTTTATGTTTACGCGGCGCGATACGCAACGCATAAAAATACATTATTAGTCATTATGATCAGTAATTATGTCCCCACTGGATGCAACAAATGCCTCGTTTGTAATGGGTTTTATTGGTTTTGTCTCGTCCTGCTGGGAGACGGCATCACAGTGTGTTAAGGGGCGTAACATTTCCGTCACACGCTTGAGGTATTCGGCCAATCACAACGCACTGAATAGCTGGCCAATCAGAGCACACCTCGCTTTTTCAGAACGATGAGCTTTGTAAAAATCTACGCGTTTCAGAAAGGTGGGACATAGAGGAAAAACAATAATGTACATTTTATGGAAAATAATGTGTTTTTTTTACCTTAAACCGCATAAACACATTGCATTACACCAAATACACAATATAATGTTCTTTTTAGCAACGCCATATGACCGCTTCCCCTACAACCTCTGTAGTCCCATTTAGACACTTGTTTGCAAACACCTTGTTCAAGAGAGGTAAAAATAAATCGCAAAGAGGTATTACTGAGGTATTTTGTCATAAATTAAGTGTAAAAAAATATTGTGCTGGTTAACGACATACCTTATTTCAAGCATTTAATCTACTGTAAAACTCATCGACTTCAGAATGGTAGAACCAGTGGTGCTAAAATGCTAACTCATTTGTAGCTTTTGGCCTACAAAAAAATACATCCACCCTACAGCCCTCCATGAAATGAACTAAATTCATGACCTGCTATCTCACAAAACCACATATGAACGCACACAAGGTTTTTCCAGACTGTCACCAATGGTGACTATATTTAAATTGTCACACGTTTTCATAATGGCTTGGATAATGTGTTATTGGCCTCTAGAAACTATAGCAGCAGTTTAGCTTGGCACAAAATGTGTAAATAATGTTTAACATTAGGAATTTCGATTCTGTGATATTAGTGTTTGTACAACACAGACACACAATGCATCTAGTTTCAGTTACAGACACTAGCCTTGTTTGGTCCCATAGCCTCCTCCCCTTTAAATAGCCAGTCTCGCTATATCCCTCCACCAGACAGTCGCCTGCTTCTCTTCTTCTATTCACTTCCAGGCCTTGGGACAGCTGAGAATTTGCTGCAGTTATAGCCTGTCCATTCAGTTGTGCTTGGGAAGGGGCTTTCCACTACTTGTGCACATACACACACATACACACACTTCCAAATCCCGTGGGACTTGAGTTTAATGCTTTAAGACACACTATGCCTCATGCTTTTGCCAGCATTATCACAACTCTCTCAGTGTCTGGTTTCCCATATCTCACTAAAAATTATCTTTGACTGTACAAGCACTCACAGACACGAACAAGATTACACCGTTTCAAAATGGGTCCTTAAGCAAATATTTTATTATAAAAATAAATCCTCCTATAGTTATCACGTTTCTCTGTCTTAGTTTGGCATCTCTGTGATATTTTCTTATTGTCAATATTTTAGCTGTTAGTGCCTTAAAACCCCGTTAAAGTGTTCAAATGTGCAGCAATAGGAGGCCATTTTGTCATAGACCGCATCTGAGACGTGCAAATTTCACGTCTCAATTTACCAGGATGTAGGGAACTTCCTTTCTTACTTAAAACTAGAATGTTTTCAACTGCAGAGGGGGCTCGAATGGCAAGTACCTCACAGTCAAAAGGTGACTTAAATTCTGAGAATGTAATGACATGTTATATGACAGAGCCTTTTAACATTTAAAATCGGAAACTAAAGTTTGAGATATATATATATATGTATATATGTGTGTATATATATATATATATATATATATATATAGGTGTGTGTGTGTATATATATATATGTGTGTGTGTATGTATATATATATATATATGAATCAAAAAGTCGATTATCAAAAGATTATTAATAGTGTGCGCTGTGCTGCTCTGTATATTCTGGTACAAATGAACATTTCTGATTTAAAATGTAAGCCCAAGGCAAATAATAACAATACACTTACAAATAGACAAAAAATGAAATATAAAAATATAACATTAATCTTTACAAATAGCACCATCACAAAAAGAGTATGAATGATATTCAACAGTCTAATACTAAAGAAGCTTATGTATTAAATATAAAAGGCTATGTACTTTTATCATCTGTATTTGGCAATAATTAAAATAGCAAAAAGTGCAAACCAGCTGATAAAGAGAATACATATTGGTGAGGTATATGATACCAATTTTACGATCCATCTGAATTATACACAGATCTGCAATACAGTATTAAGCAAAATTTGATTGAAACTCTTAGACAAAATGTACTATGCTGAAAACCATAATACCAAACAAGTGACAAAACCCAGTGACTTATAAACCACAAGTGCTTGAGATTGAATAACTTTTCATAACCAAACCATCTGCGTTCAATGACAGCCATGTGAGTAAGCCTTTGAACTGGGAATGACCAACCCAAAGTCATATCTTGAGTCCTATGCCACAAGCGACCTTCTAAACATCAACCAAGCCCACAATCGAAAAGCCAAGTCTTAAAATAAAAAAACGAAAAAGCTCTTCCTTCGACTCCATCCTGTTTAAACGTGGCCCTGCCTTCATCAACACCCTGTCAAACATCCCATAGTCTGCAAGCTTGTAGTGATTCTGTCCTCAGTGCTTTCTGTGCCCTGTGAAAAGTCAGTGAGGTGAGAGACTCACAGCTTGGCACACTCGTCCCAGTGGTTTAGGTATTCGGTCGCGTGCTCGTCGTCGTACGTGGTGAGACAGCGAGGGCACTGCAGTTCAGCGGCTCCCTGCGGTGCCGTGTTACTGATGGACCTTTTTGAGCTTGTTTCTGGGGGACTGTTTCTTCGGGGTTCGGCAGTGTCCGTCTGTCGGTGGGGAACTTTTTTTAGGCCCATGTGAAGTCGCCGTGAGGATGAGGCCTCTTGGACGCTCTGAGTGATGAAGAAACAATGCGTGTTATTTAAAGTGAATTGGATTTTAAAGTCTCATGCTGGTCGGGTTGCACTGAAAACAAGTGGTGACCTAAAAATCGTAAATGCACTGGTTTTAAGTCAAAAATCTAATTTGATATAGCTGAATCTGCCAAAATACATTAAATTATACCACCAAGACTACTTTTTATGGGTTACATCATGTAGAAATGTGGATTGTCACTTCTTACAGTGTGAGAGAAAGGGGGAAAAAATTCCAGCATTTAATGAAAATCTATTTTGTAAGTATGTTATTGTGTCACAAATCATCCATGTATTTTTCTTTATTTTATTTTTGACCCCATTATGTTGTAATCAAAATGTTGTCATGGCAGACTTCTCTAATAATTTAGTCCACTTAAACCCTGCCCATCCATGTTCGACTGCACGCTCAAATTCATTTTTCAATGCAACGCCCATTTTCTTTGTTAATCCACTGCTCTCAAATGTACATCAAGAAACTGAAGAAAAGATCTGTTGCTACTTCAGTTTCATCGTGACTTAAAACAATCCATAATAATGTTAAAATAATTGTATGTGTGTGTGTGTGTATATATATATATATATATATATATTTAATAACTATTTAATATTATTTAATATTAATATATTTTTTGAGATACTTTTTTCATATATCATGCTGGTCAGGGTATTTTGTAGTAAATAAAATGACAAAACTTTTTTTTAGTTTTTTTAATTATTAAAAAAAAAATTATATAATATAGAACTCTTTTTTCCAAGTATCTTGAATTTGTAAATATCATTCGGTTTTTGGGGAGTTGCACCACATGGTATTTTACAACCTAAACTAACCTTGCCTTGCCATAAAAAAGGGCAAATTATCTTTTCAATAATTTAATTATTTAAATAAGGATTTTTTTATGAGACTTGCCTGTGTGCGTATTTGCAGTTGAAGTCGCCCAACTTCATCTTGAAGGTCCAGGATTTTACCCTGAGCCCTTTCTCGGTCTGCCCTCTCCGATTTGAAGTCCTCAATATAGGCCAAAACCTACAGGAGAACAAGGAAGGTTTTTGGGCAGCACACCAAGCAAAACTACTTCTCACCTTTGTTGTGACAAACATACAATGACTTCCTGTTTAAGAGGAATTCAAAATAATGATAAAGACCTGCTGCTCAAGCATCTGAATGCGCTCCTGGTCTATCCTTTTACTGTCATCCCTCTCTCTGCTGAGTCTCTCGCACTCCATCATCTTGTCCTGCAGGAGGCCGTTGAGCCGCGCAATCTCCTGCTGGAACAAAGCCACGTTGCCCGCAGCCGGAGTTTGGGTCAGGGTCGGACCTGCGCATGCCAGACCGTTTGACTCTTTCAACTTCTGACACAAACCCCTCACGTACTCTTCTCTACTGGAGTCGTACTTCTGCCACTTTGAGTTTAAACTTTCCACCTGAGATGGAACAAAGGCATGTATTTATGATGTGAACAGACAAAAATGACATGACATTTTCCAAGAATATTATGCATTGTTGTGTCTTTCCATAAAAGGTACTGAGTGACATTTTCTGCAAATGAAACTGGTAAAAAAAAAAATGTCAGTGGGTGATGATCAAATAACGGTTCCATCATGTGAGCCTTACATATGCAACTCTCTTTTTAAGCTGGTCGTTCTCATCTTCTAACTTGCTGAGGATGACATTTAGATGGGGAACTTCAGGGGAATCTTTTGTCTGATGAAGATACAAAAAGCAAGGTCAAATATAGTTGTTTAAAATAAAGTGTTTTAAAGGTGATCCAGATGTTGTAGAATGCTGATAGTTTCCCCAAACACACCTCATTTGCTTGAGTTCTCTGATCCGTCATGGATGTCTTGCTTTTCTCTTTCTCCAGCCGTCCCAAAAGCTCCTGGCACACCTGCACGGTGGCTCCCAGCTGTGCCTTCAACTGCTCGGCTTCTTCAGCGAGAGAACACACAGATTATACTGCAGGTTGTAGCCTAAATGTTGCTTTCTTACCCCAAAACAATTTGACGTTGATGTGGTGCGAAATGAGTGCTGCATTCATATTGAGAACATACAAAATGAGTATTGTTTAATTTGATGGTAGCCTACTATTTAATATAGTGACAGCTGAACAGATAACTGTAAACTCGGAGGAAAATAGCATCTGACAATTTTATATTGTATTTTTAAACTGGAGAATCTGGCAAATATATTGCAGTCTCTAAAAAACCCATTATTTAAAGTTTTTCTCCCCTTGTCATAATGGATAATGCCTGCCATTATCTTGGATCACACTGTGTCAATTGTCTAGACAATGAAAGCCAATGGTGCTTAGTCTGTTATCTGAAGACTGAACCATAAAACAGTCATTTTAATTATACAGTAATTAACAAACTTACAATGTCTAAACCCCCATTCTTAGCGTAAGGAATCTTTATCCCGCTGCCAAAAGCAGCACACATGAAACGGCAGAAAGTCCCGCTCAGCATGTAATGTTTGTGTGAGTTCATGATGTTCTGCCTAGGGAAACCCCACCACTGTTCTTTAAAGTTTGCCACCATCTTGTGGTATCAAAACAGCAATGACATGCGTTTGACAGACATGATATATTACTTGTGAATAAGTCAAACACACACACTTAATAGTTGCAATATTGCTTATTGCTGAAAGTGCTCTTTCATAGCTTGATGTTACACAACAGCCATTTCAGCTCTCTAAACACATTTTTATTGTTTAGGCATGCTTGTGCAAAGGTATGAACTAAATCTGTAAAATTATAGGCAATGGAGTTGGTAATTACTCTTGGATTGCATTAGGGCAACCCTTTCATTTTAGGAATGTATACTGCTTGCATATGCAACTTTCCAGCATTAAGAATTCCTGGGAAATACAGGACTCATGCAATGCTTGACTCTTTCTTTACTTTACTTTATTTGAAAATGCTTAATACCAACAATATAAATAAATGACTACAAAATCTATATAAAAAATACTGCACACAACTTCAGCTCCAGAGATAGCCAATTATAAAAAGCAAATATTAAAAAAAGAAAGTGTAAAATAAAAAGATCAAACTATGCCTACAATACGTGTAATTTTAAATTAAAAACAGACTGAGGTACCTTAAAAAACAGTATTATTAACATTTATTTAATGGTTTATATTAATATTATATACATCTCCTTATATACCCTCCTTTCAATATTTTCCTTAATAGAAAATTCCCATTTTAATATTTCCACTTGCAGATATCAGAGCATTGAGCCATAAAATTGTCTTAAACTGCTGCTAGGGCTCAGTGACATCAGGCATTAGGATGCCATTGAAAGGGTCCGTTGCACCATCATCACCGATATCCTGAGGAAAGTCTTCCTCGCTGTCACATTCTTGGCTGTCAGCCCCTGGCTGGCACTCAGTTGAGCGACTTTCGCTGTCCACTGCGCTGTGTTTGGACTCGGTGCTTTCACTGCTACTGCTGCTGCTGCTGCTATTGCTAGTACTGTACTCAGTACCGTCAACAATATAACTGTTTTCAGTGCTTTCACTTGTGTCCGCACTCTTATCCTCTTCCTTTGTGCTTAGAACAACCATTTCCTGGCTTTCACTTGATTCACTGCTTTCACTAGTGGATTTGATGTCATTCTCTTCTGGCTGGCTGGTCGCTTGCACAATGGCATTGTTGTTCTTATGGACCCATTTGAGGGTGTAAATCCAGCCCTGTATGAATGCATTATGATGTTCATTATTCCTGTGTAACCACACGTGTTTGTTGTATGATGCATGAAATTGGACATTCCTTACCCTACGAACGTTCTCTTTACTGCTTTGAGTGTTATCTGATGTAAGTGCAGTCTCACTTTTTCCAATCTAGATAAGCACAGATGGCAGAACGTGGGAGAGTATAAACAGGTTATCAATTGCTCTGCAATCAATACGCTTTAGAGCATGAGTTTTAGGTTGCATTAAGGCAAAGTAACTTACCAGACTTTCCACAGAATGGCTTTCACTAGAGATCTTGAAAAAAATAAAATGTATATACAGTATTACATATAGTAGTACATATATATAAACAAACAAACATTAAGTAAGACATTTGCAGTCATATTGATGTGATTTTCTAAAGATGTGAAAAGTAATTATTAGTTATACCGGTTCATTAGAGTCTGATTCAGTTGATTCTGAGCTCTGTCAAGAAAACGGAGAAAGTGAAGTGAGCCTATTTTCTTAACAGAAATATATTTAAATATTTTCTCATTAGATTTGTTGACATAATAGTCTTTGCACTTACATTGCTGTCGGAGACAGTTTCCTTAGACTTCTGCAAATAAATAAATAATGCATGTATGTTTTGTTTGTACATTATTATTTTTAGTGAAGACTATTAAAAATACTTAATACTGTACAAAATAAATCTTTTTTTTCCTGGTAGAAATTTGACGTGCATACATAGTTGGATATTCTTGGGATAAGAAAACTTATTTTACCATGACTTACTGATCACATTTTTTGTTTTTACAGGGAAACATACAGTTGTCCCTCCTTCTAGATACACATTTAAGTTTATTTTATATATATATATATATATCAGTGGTGACTGAAAGCGCACCTCATCTGAAGGTTCTGAGGTATTACTCTGGTCGGAGGATTCAGATATTGAAGAGCTTTCCGACTGCGGAATGTAAAAGATTATAAGAACAGCATTACCTAAAACATTTTTAAAAAGTTACGACAAAGTTTCTTTCAAATAAACTGAGAGTCACTTACAGAGTTGGATGCATGTTGAATCACCTCCATAGCCATTTTATGCAAGATCTGTGTGATAATTCAAGAAAAAAATTGTTGAATTGTCACTCTTTGAAATGTATGGAAAGGCAGAAGAACATTAAAAGTTTATTCACAGTAGTACTCACTGGATTAGCATAGGCTGCTCCCAGCAGACAGAGAATCAATATGGCAGGTTTCATTCTGAAATATAAAATCTGAAGAATAAAAATCCATATATAATTTATTAGGTTTTAATATCTCTTTAAATGTTTCTGCTTAAAAATAATGCATTGGGTAGGTATGAAAACCTTACCTTTCTCTTCTCTTAGTCCGAATGCAAAGTCCAAGAAGCAGAAGAGTAAATGAACGAGAGTACTTTACTGAGAGTGTGTATAGCTAAAGCTAAAGACTGAATTTAATGGTATGTCTAGAGAAAGCGCTATTTAACAGGCTGACTCCTTCATTAAGGTAACAGCATCACTTCCTGCTCGCCAACACTCAGATTATTGTGGGGGCACATTAACTGGAGCTGGAATATACAAGAAAATGAGAGTGCCACAGTAAGAATGTTTACATAATGCAATGACACACACTACAGTGTGCGCTCACCCAAACTTCCTCTCCTGTACGTGTCTATTTTAAGATGCTAAACTATAGGGTGTGTGGCCTCTAAATACTGAGTAAGAGTACTGTCTGATCCCACACTGGGACAGGAAGTCCATAATGAGAGCATTCCAACACAGAGCATTTTTTATTATTTTCCATAGACAGTCACTATATACCTCTGTTACAACACCATTAATGTCCAGCTACAACACGAGTTCACAGATGCACTTGACCTAATACGGCTTTTGATTTACATGTTTACATGGACTGAGCATTGTGTAAAGCCATAGTCCAACAGCAGGTTAAATGTTATTACAGGCTGAAAGCACAATACATGATGTGATGAGCAGGGCTGGGCAAAGATACATCAAAATGTATTTTAAAATAAAATACCAAATACCTTAACTTTAAATGTATCAAAATAAACTACAAAATACAGCAGCCACACCAAGTATCAAAATAAACTACTGTATTTTTGTATTTTAAAAATACTAAAAATACTTTTATAAGGGAGCATGAAATTTCTTCACAAACCTTCCATCAGTTGGCTTATTTGATCTATCTCTTCACCAATACACTTATGTTTGTGAACAATGTTTGATAGCAACAGCTTTTCTCTGCCCGAGTCATGCAATACATCTGACATATGCAACCAGTTAACAGATCAAATATTCAC